TCGGGTGTCCTAATAATAATTTATTCGAATGTAGTTCAGATATAATTTGCAATAAATAATAAAGAAAATTATTTGTTATATACCAATCATAATCGGCTAATTCTAAAAAGTCATCGATCTTGGAATTAACTAATTCAAATATACGTTTTTCAGCTTTCTTACGTGTTTCCCTAAATTCATCTATTGCATACAATTTAATCTTTCCTCCACGGTGCGAAGACCTTATATAAGACTGTCGGTTATAATGTTTATTGAATAATTGGAATTCAAAAATGTAATAATTGACATAAGTGATACCTTTTAGCCTTCAACAACTTTTCGAGCTCACCACATGCACCTTCAAAATATTCGAGGTTAATTATAATTTGAACAATCTGAGACATATTAGTGCTTTGTAATTTCCCACGTAACGCTCCATCAACATGATCTATAAGAAGATGGTCAAGAGTCTTTCGAAATGGAAATTAAGATAGCAATTAAGTCGGAAAGAATATTAAAGATATTCTGATAAAGTAATAAAAAAAAAAAATAATAACCTGTTGGACTATATCGTCAACATAACTATATCTTCGTGAATCATCCTCTGCAAATTGATAATATTGATTCACAAAATTCTTAATGTCCAAACAACAAGATGGATATGCTTGAGAGAACGGAAGTGTTTTCGGAAATCTAGATATCATATAAATTTTTCAAACATGGAATAGTGAAAATAATAATATTTATATATAAATTTGTTGCATACCCTTGACTAATCCGATTATCTTCTTTAAACCAGCATGCATCAACCACTGCAGCATATTCTTCACGGTAAGAAACTTGCATTGGCATATAATCATCATCAATAATTGTCTGAAATTTATAAGAAAAAATGTAAAAAATCAAAAGTAATCGCGTATGAAAATTAGAAATATATATATAAAATATTACTTGATGAAAATCTACTGAAAATTTGTGTTTCAGCATATCTGAATATTTCCTGAAAATAATTGAAACTAATTCTACAAAGTTATTAACATTATATCCGTAATCCTATTAACATATAGATAGTATATATATATTTTTTTTTCAATAAATCAGTTTGTATTCAAATCATGGAAAATGCTTATCAGAACAAATATCTACCTCTAATGTTTGAATGAATGTAAATAAGCTAAATTTGATTTGCTTAAATAATTCCGGATCACGACAATCATCTAAACTTTCGCTTACAATTTTGATAACTTTTGCTATTACCGTATCCCATAAATTATCTACTTCTGCCCGTGATCGGAAATTTTGTGTTGAATGCACAATAACATGTTCAATGACAAAGAACCCCGC